GCAAATAAGGTAGATTTAATGATTTTACGTCGACTAAGAAATTCAGCCGTTGCAAAACGTGAAGTAACAATAAAACAAAGATTTCGGAATAATTTAAATCAAATTGATTCGACTGTACCAACATAAATCCCTCTTATATTCTCAAATAAAACATACAAATAAAATTTGAGAGTTATACTATGAATTTTTTTTAATGTTCTGTTAACCGTCTTTTCGATTATCCGCCATACCCTTGGTCCGGTACCCTGACGGATAATCGAGGCTCCACTGTATCCTATTATTGCATTCCTTCCTTATCCAGTACGATCTGGGTTCTTTAGCTTTTTCTACAATAACAACTTTATACTATACTTTATCAACACTACTCTTAACAACTACATTATCCCCCCTTTTATAAGTTGTTGGTGTACGTTTACTATGTTTATCATACTGAACTTTTGTTTTTTGTTGTTGGTCCGATAACAGTTTATAAATCTCATTCTGAATTTTAGGTTGTAATTGTTCACTATTTACTGGTATTTCTGTTCTCAAAGATCTACTATTTAATATTTGTGATGGAGATGCACTTAATGAAATAATAGCAGTATTATTATATTCTAAAACTAACTCACGATAATCAGAGTTTTCTGTAAAACTTTTTTTTTAAATTTGTTTACAAATTCCTACAGCCTTTTCAGCAAGGCCATTACTTTGGTGGTAATGAGGTGAACATGTCAGGACTGTAATTTGTTTATTATCGTAATATTTTTTACACTTAAATGATATAAATGGTAAATTATCTGCAATTAAAAATTGAGGATAGCCAAATCTGGAAAAAACATCTTGCATTGCATCTATTATGGCTTCAGATGTTTTATTATTTAATGATAGCATCTCTATCCAATGAGAAAAATATCAGCCGCAATTTTATTAAACCTCAATTTTGGTATTGAATGTGCTAACATTGGCTCTCTATAATTATTTGGCATGAATTTTTCACAAATTCTACATTTTTTTATAAACTGGACAATATCATCCCTAAGGTTTGGCCAAAAAAAATAAAGATCTTGCTTTATTAATAGTTTTACTAGTTCCTATATGACCTTTATGTAACAGAGTAATCATTTCCTGTTTTAGAGATTTTGGTACAATTATTTTATTTTCAACAAAAACAATTCCTGGTTCAACATATATATCATTTTTAATACTGTAATATGGCTTTATATACTCTGGAATCTTGTTTTCTTTAGTCCAGCCTTTATAATAAAAATCAACAATTGTAGCCAAAACTTTATCTTTAGAGGTTTCTTCTCTGAACTGATATATTTTTTTATCTGTCATTGGTAAGTCGGTCAGATAGCTCAGCAGGCTGTGCGGCTGCCTCTCATTCGCTTCACTGTCGAATGGTTTAGTGGATGTGGGATCGAGCCCAAGCTCGGTGTACAGAAAACAAAAAGTCTAACGCAGCAGTTTAAAATTCTAGATGAATCTGCGGCTTAGACTAGGATATGCTGGGATCTGATCGGCCTATGGTGGAGCAGTACGGCAAGAGATAAGGGCTTGCGGCTCGGTGATACTCCTCCATAGATCCCTACCGGACAGGCGTAACGCCTAAAAAACCGGATATATACATTGGTAAGTATAGTGAGACTGAATGAACCATATCAAACATCTCTAAATCAAGGGTTTGTGTCTTTAACCTAGCTCTAGAAAGCATATCTGCAAATTGAATATGGTTTCCTGGAACATAATAAATATTTAATATGTACTTTAATAATTTTAGCCTTAAACGCTGCAGCCTTACTGACCCAATTTTGCATATTGGTTTCTGCATAATTGAAATTATTGGTTTATGATCTGTTTGGACATCAACATCACACTGGTAAATAAAGTTATGAAATTTTTGTGTACCATAAAAAATGGCTAATAACTCTTTCTCTGTCTGGCTGTAATTTATTTCATGTTCATTCATAGACCTAGATGAACATGCAACTAATTTCAACATACCATCATAGTTTTGAAACATACAACACCCAATTCCATTTTTGGATGCATCACATTGCAAAACCATCTTTTTATTTGGATCAAATGGTACCAGAGCTGGAGAATTTGAAATTATTTTCTTTAACTTATCAAAACATTCCTGGTGTTTAGGCAACCATTGCCATTCTACATTGTTTTTTAAAAGTTCACATAAAATTTGCATGTGCTCAGCCATATTTTTAACATAACGTCTAATATAGTTAAAGGAACCTATTATTCTTTGTAACTCTAATTTATTTTTTGGAGTTTCTAATTTACATAAAGCATCTGTCCTGTCAGGATCTACTTTCATTCCTAAATGAGAAAAAATTTGTCCCATAAACTTTACTTCTTTTTTGCTAAATTGAATTTTCTCTTTATTAAATCTAGCACCCACCTCTTTTGCTCTATTTATCACCTCTTTGACCGCTTGATCATGTTCATCTTGAAACGCCCCTGCTATGATCATATCATCATGACAAACTACAATGTTTTTAATATCACCAAAATGCTTTTCAACTGCCTCTTGAAAAAGGTCTTGAGAATTTGATAACCCAAAAGGTAAAACTAAAAATCTATAAGTTCCATAGTGTGTAGAGAAACAACATTTCCATGAAGAATTTTCATCAATTGAAAGTTGGTGATAACTTTCAGATAAATCAAAAACAGAATATACATTTTTGTTTAATAATTTTGAACATATTTCCTCAATGGACTCCCCAACTCTAGGTTTGCGTACTATATGTTTATTCAGATCTGAGGGATCTAAACATATTCTTAATTTACCATTACTCTTTTCGACTATCACCATTCTATTAATACTTGCCCTGGGGTCTATGTTTTCTACCTTAACAATTGCTTTTCTTTGGACTAATCTATCTAGCTCAGTTTTAAGTGAATTTCTAATTTTTATTGGACACTTGGTAGGTGGATAGCAAACTGGTTCAAATTTATCATTTGTTGTAATTTCATATGTGCCAGGAAATTTGCCTGACCCTGTGAAAACTTCAAAATTTTCATTGATAAATTTATCTGTTAAATGAGACCGGCCTATCTTATTTATTTTTATAGAATCAATACGTTTTACCAAACTTAAATTTAAACATGTTTGTCCACATATCAGAACCTGACTTGCACCATCCACAATGACAAAATCTTCAAAAATATTCTTACCCTTACATTTTACATTTAAATTTACTACACCTATAGGATGAGACACATTTCCATCAAATGCCTTTAACACATATTCAGTAGGCCTGGTTTTAAATTGACAATTAAATTTTTTATAAACATTTAAAGGAATAACATTTACATCTGCCCCTGTGTCTAACTTAGCTTTCAATTTATAATTTTCAACCTCTATATACTCTTCCCAAGTGTCTATCAAATCAACATTACATACCTTTTTCCTGCTGTTAACATTTCTTACAAAAAATTCATTAGAAGAGGTTGACTCACAATCATCTTTTTCAGTACTTTTAATATTTTTGACCTTGCAGGCAACTGCATAATGGTTTTTTAGTCCACACTTGTTACACTTCTTGCCATAAGCTGGGCATTCCCTCGGACCATGCTTTTTTGCACACCTTCTGCATAAAAAAACTTCTTCTTCAACTTCTTTCTCTTCATTCCAAGGTTTCTTCTTTATATCATATTTCTTTTTCTCTATCTTCTGTGTATGATTAATATTTCCTGTGTTATATTGAAACTGTAAATTTTGAGATCTACTTTGCTCACTTGTTCTGCAGAATTCTATAGCTTTATTTAAACTTAATTTTCTATTCGCAGGAGGGCTTCTCGTGTGGTCGGATCCCTAATTCCCATAACAATTTTGTCTCTTAATGTCTTGTCTTCACATGACTCATCGGGATCTAGGGCATTGTAATTGCAACTTCTAACCAAATGTCTGCACTCTGTCAAAAAATGTTCAAATGTCTCCCCATCTTCTTGTACTCGTTTTATAAAGTTGTACCTCTCAAAGCATTCGTTAACTCTTGGGTTCACATACTTATCTAACAGCTGCATTGTGAATTCATACTTATTTAGTTCTTCATCAGGGATAACAAAAGTAGCCATAATCCGTGCTGATTCATGGCCAATAATATTTCGCAGGATGGATAATTTCACCTGATCTACAGCGTCGTGTTGTCCTGTTGCTACTAAATAATCTTCGAATGAAATTTTCCAAAATTTCCATTCAGAAGCGGCACTCTGACCCTGGAGGTCGAAATCTTGGGGTAACTTAACATAACCTATTCCATTGACCATGCTTGCCATTTTGGGAACACTTAAATTTTTCTTTTTAATAAACTTAGCACTTAACTTTATCCTTGGACACGTAGATTCCATAAATTGACTGCGCCATGTTTAAAGTATGTTAATAAGGTCTCAATTAAACTACTGTATTGGCTGAACATATATTAATAATATTCATACATTACAACATGATCATGTCGCCCATTGTCCCCGTTGGGAAGTGGTGTTGACTTGACATTGACATATTTGACATAGTTACCAGGTTTACGTTAAGCCTATCTTACATTAATGTCAAACAATTATGTCTAGTAATTTACGAGATAAGTGGCCGTTTCCAGACTTTTGGGCCACTCTGTATAATCAGTGTAAATTATGTATTTAAGGAACTTATACATAGATAGATATGATTCATTAGTTATGTGTTGACATTATATCGAGTGTAGACATCTGTTTTTGTTTACTATATTCGACCTTAATAAAATTGGCATCTCAAGTGTGATTTCATTGTTACACGATTGAGGTGTCGTTTTATTGTTACAATTCTAAAGATTGTTTTATATTTCAAACCACAATTACTAAAAGATTATTAATAAATCAATCGAGTTGGTAATTACACGCAATTACTTCAGAAAAAATTAATATGTAATAAATATGTTTTTTTTTCGGGACCAAAGAAATCTAGATATCAATGTAACTGTATATTTGTGTTATACAGATCAATATTTTATTATATATGTACTAACCTCTCTGCAAGGTTTGTGTGGATTTACAATTTGCACGGCCCTTCTTCTACTCACTAATACAGCTTGGGAGTCTCCCGCCCATGCTACATATAACATTTTCTCTTTGGGACGCAATAATGCAACAACGGCAGTAGTTCCACTGGAAAAGTGCTAAAAAATAAAAATAAAGTATTACTTGCAAACTTACATAGGGTGTCCAGAAAATCTTCTGACAAACGAAAACCGGAGATTTTTCAGATAATTTTAAGAGAATTAAACCCAATTCACCTACTCCGAACGCTTCTATTTAGAAAAACGTAACCTGGTATGATTATTTATCCTCAAGAGTTCAATAGATTTCATCAATTGCGAATTTCTAGTACCGATCGTAGGCGTCCATTTTGTTTTTACATTTTAAGCATTCGTAATACTAGAGCATTAAATTTTTAGGTATTCTAGTACTAAAAGGTACTCTTAATCTAAGTCGATAGGATACACCGTTTTCTAGAAAAATCGATTTGAAAATGTTTCGTTTTTTCCGTCATGAAAACCTTCATGTCAACTGAAGTATAACCTACATTTTTCATTGTTAAATTGTTAATTTCAAATATAACAATTTTAATTTAACAACAATCTTAGTTGGTACCAGTACCATCTTAGTTGGTTGATTCTGATGTCCTCTGTTGATGATTTCTTAAATTCCTTCGTTTCTTATCTTGTCTAATCTTGATTTACAGGCCGCTCTCCTCCAATAATCCATTTCTGTTGCCTTCTCCTTCAATGGACATATTTCGTTTCTATATTTAACAATGCTTTTGACAATGCTAATATAGATTCTGCGTTTATTTTCTCTCGAAATAGTTCTATCCCACAGTATGCTGTTCAATTGCCGAATGTCTGGTCTTTCTTGGTTATTTTCTGTATATAATCTTTTGTTCCAAATTGCCTTCATTAGTTATGAGTATTCCAAATTAGATTTAGTTGCTCTCCTCCTATACCTACACATATGTATTCTGTTTTTTTGATATTTACTTCTAATCCTCATTTCAGATATTCCTGAATAAGTTTGCAAGTCATATATTCTAGATCTTCGTAATCCTGAGCTAAGACTATTTGATCGTATGCAAAGCATTGTGTATTATCAATAAACGGCTAAAGAACTTTCTACTCCCAGAGATAGCTGAAGAAATATTCGGATTGGTACCAGGAAATGGAATACAGGAGCAATGATGCTCTATTTCGTAGATTATACGAAGGCTTTTGATTCAGTAAAATAGGATCCCCTCTGAAGTATAATGAAAAATATGAAGAAATCTGTCTGATAAAATCTCAGCCAAATTTAAAATACACGGAATATATTCAGATGCGTTCAAAACAAAAAAAGGAACTAGACAGGGCTCCATACTATCACCATTATTGTACAACATTATATTCTGAATATATAATGAGAAAAGTACTTGACGAATGGGATGGAGGAGTCACTATAGGAGGCAGAAAAATCATCAACGTATGATACGCAGATGATACACTTATACTAGCAGCGAATGAAGTCGAAATGATTACCATCACTGAACGGCTGTCAGATAGGCGAAGAATTTGGCCTTCGGATCAACACTGGAAGAACAAAAATAATGATCGTAGACACAGCGAATAATAATCTACCGCACATACACCAAATAGAGAATTTCGAAGTGGTAGACAGATTTGTATACTTGGGCTCCCTGAAAACCAACAATGGCAATTGCTCATCAGAAATCAAGCGTAGACTTGCAGTGGTCAGAATATTTAATGTTTACTTAATCAGTTTTGAACGATCCTTAGGTATAATATTATAAAAATATCATCATCATCATCACAGCCTTGCAATCCCACGGAATTAGTGCTCACGGCTGGGAGTGAATTATTTCACTAGCTGAACAGCTATTTTTTAGAAGTAGTATCCTCCTTTGTTGGACGGCACCTTACGGTTTTACTTATTCAACCAATTGTCTGGGTAAACAGGTCTTGAATCTAAGGCAAAAAAACGCAAAACTAAGGTATGACGTACAAAATACGAATGTAGGCATTAGGACTGGGATTATATAAATGTTTTGATGTATTTACAGAAATTTTTGGAGCTTCCCTTTGTTAAGTAACCCAACACATTAAGCAATATTTTTCAAAATAGAAAGATACTTACTTCGACTTTGCACTTATCAATAAATAAAGCATCTGTTTTACAAAAGGCATCTAGCAAGGCTTGTTTCGGATTTGAAGCAAAACATTTATTTTCGGCAAGGAACTGATGCAAATGAGCTGAGCTATAGGCAGCAGCATCGTGGCCCGCGTGACCATCGAATACTGCGTAGTAACTGGACGGACTTGCTTCCTAAAACATACAAATTTTATTAATAGTGAGTAGACACGAATTGGAAATGTTTTAAATATTATAAAGTACAAATTCTGTATTTCTCTTAAGTACAGAAAAGCTCTCCATGGTCGGCATGTTCTGTGTTGCATGTGAATTAAATTGTATTGCACAAATTTGCTTAATCTAATGTAATCTAAACCTTTCAGGTAAATAGAATCTAAAGCATGAATTCAAACCCGGAACTCATCAAAATTTTAATTTTAAACGTAGCAGTTTATCTAGCTTATATAAATTCTTAAAGCAAGAGGAATAAGACAATATTTACCCCCCAACAAAAACTTTCATCTTTTGTCCGATCAATCAAACACACGATTCCAAATGAACAACACGGAGTTTAAAAAATTCCTTGTGCAGACTGCTCCCGACCTTATATAGGCCAAACAAATCGTAGAATCCAAAATTCAGCTCTAGGTCAACAATATCTTCATATTTTTTTGGTAATGTTACGAATGTTGATTTTAGCCAGACTGATGGTATTTTACCTGTGTGTCATATATCATGTTGAATAGTGCTGTTATTAAGTCGAGGCTTTTACTATAATTGTTGCTTTTCAATTCTTCTGAGCTTTTACTGCATAAATAACTTCTTTTGTATTTTTTTGGACCTTATTCATCTATTCGATCATCCGTGGATGGTGGAGAACAAGGTCTATCATCGTCAAAAAGTGTCTGAATGTATTCTTTCCATTTCTCCAGTTTATCTTCTGTACCTATAATTATCTCGTTATTATTACTTCTTAATATTGTTTCTTGTCTCTTTCTTTGTCTACCTGTCATTTCTTTTCACTTTTTTATGGACATTAAAGGTGTCGTATCTTTGCTGAAGTTTTTCAATTTCTAGTCATTTGGTTGACATCCAGTTTTCTTTAGCTTCCCTGTACTTTTTTCTAATGATTTTATTAACTCGTTTGTATTCTATTGCGCCTGTTTTATTTTGTTCTTGTATCTTTGTTATTTTAGTTTTTAGAACAGTCTACGTTACTTCAACGTCTGTCTGTACCAAGTTCTCTAGCGTTTATATTTGTTTATCAACCTTGATACTTATTTCATTTTTCATTTCATTGTTCTTTATGTCTATTTTTCTTTTGGATGCTCTGTCCACTTCCTTGGACCTCAATAGTAGTTGAGGGAGACATTCCTCCCACTCTCTCCCCATTCGGTGCTCCGGACTAAGGGCCATTTTTGTTTGTTTCGGTCTGCTATTTAGATTTGTGGGAAATATAATGGGGTGATTTTCCCGTTACCTTTCCTATCGCAGTACCACAACCATTTCTGCTCCAGTCATTCTTGTAGTATTCTAGTTTCGCCAGTCCAGAATCATTTCCTCTTTGCCTTGAGCTGGTTCGCTGCTGTACTTCACCAAGGAGAGATAGGAAATAGGTAACTATATTTTGGAAGGACAAAGGGATGGGACATGATTTCTCTCAGTAAGGAATTGAAAACAAAGCATAAAATAGACTATAAGTTTGTAAAAAATTAAGGGGAATGAAGTCTAAGGCCCTCTAATTATCCTACCTCAGCAGTTGCACTATCAATATCATGATTCTTTTTTCAATGCATCTTCATATAATAGTTTTCTATGAATCTTTTATCACAATGGAGACATTTAAATGGTTTTATTTCAGTGTGTGTACAAAGGTGTTTTTGTAGTTTATTGTTAAAAGCAAAAGTTTTTGAGCACAGAGGACAGAAAAACTTTTTTTCTGGTTTTGAAATGTTAATTGATCCTATGTTATGAATAATTTTCAAGTTTTTCTTCAAACCATAACGGTTTTTATACTCTTTGTCTTGACCTAGGTTGCATTTGAACTGCCTTTTATTATTGTGTGACCCGAAATGTTTGAACAACTCAGATTTATCAAAAAACTTTTTATCACATATATGACAATCAACTCCTTTGATGCCTTCATGTCTCTTCATATGAGTAACCAAGCTGGAATTTATGGGAAATCTCTTTTCACAGTATTTACAAATATATTTCCAATCTTTTGGTTCTACATGCATGCCTATTTTATGAGTTCTTAAAATACTTGTAGTGTTAAAACTTTTATCACACAAATTAACTTGTACTCTCTTGTATTTAAATGTATTTTGCTGTGATGGTATAAATCACCAGAGAATATAAAACATTTTCCACAATAAGAAAACACAAATGGCGTCTCATTGTTGTGATTTCTTTTATGAACAAGGAGGCTATGCGAGTTAGTGAACTTTGTATCACAAAGATCAGACTTATATGGATTTTCAAAAGTATGCTTGGCACAAGTATGAGCAGTATAATGCTGCCTTCTATTGAAAATTCTTGCCACAATATTAACATGTCTGTAGAACTTTAAGTTTGTTGTATTTTACTTAAATGTCTGTTATTTTTATTTGTTAATTTTGCATCATCCTATATATGACGCACTATTTACAATTATAATTTTTAATTTACTATTTTTAACACAATTTCCTAAGCCACTATAACATTAATCTATTTCTGATCAAAATAAGTATGGGGAAATATTTCCTTGCATTCAGTTCATTGTTAAAAATACTATGTACATATTTCGTTAGTCAACAATAACTCTGTCTAGAAAATAATAAGATTTATTTATATTCATGTTTATGTTCGTAGTTAAATGATTTCACGTTATTTTTATGTAGCAAGAACAGTTTCGGGAAAAACAATTACTGGTTGAGGTATGTGGTATGTTAAATAATGTTTCAAAAACGATAAGAATGTCCATTAAAAGATTTTCTCGGATACTGTGTTTCCTTAACAGTATATTTACTAAAATGTTTTATATCTAGTTACATTTAACAAAAATAAATTAATTTAGGAATGTAAAAAAATTGCAAAATTATGTTAAAATGAAACAAATTATATTATATATTTTTACTTCCCTATGGGGGGGTTTTAGGAGGAAGCCCAAGGGTAAAAGTAGTCAACTTTTTTATGAAAAAAATTTATTAAAAAAACCTTTATAAAAGGTATATAATTAAAACATCGAAAGGAAACGCGAAACTTAAAATCAGTTACAGATTATGTCTATAGTAAAACAACAGACGTAACAGCATGTAGAGGACCCACTTGCGGCAGTGACCACTACCTCCTACGTTCAGATATTTCATTTCCACATAAAAGAGAATAGAAAACACCGCAAAATAGCCATTCAAAGAAGCAAGTACAAGAAGTACGATACAATTTAAATAGTTTATACCAAGAAAGTGTTAGAAACCTATATAAACGTAGACTAGAACAAAAACTAAATGAAACGGAAGATAATACCAGGAATGTTAATCAGTTATACAAAACCATCAAAGAATGTATATACGCCGCTGTCCTAGAAGCACTAGGGCGATATGAAAAGATCGGAAAACAAAAACCATATTGGTGGAATCAAGATATTTCGCAGGAAATAACACAGAAAAGTAAATTGTATCAAAAATATCTGTACACAAGAAATGTGGAAAACAGAATCGAATACAACAGAATGCAAGCGATGGTCAGAGGAAAAATATGCCAAAAGAAAACCGAATCCTGGAAAAAAAAAGTGCACCATGCTAAATACATACATTGGTGGAAGCCAAAGTTCAGAAAGCTGGAAACAGTTAAAAATTTTAGGGAACAACAGAAAAAGACATATTATCCAGTCCACCGCAAACTTGGGAAGAATACTTTAAAGATTTATTAAGAGAGACAAGTGAGCCCTTCAAACAGCTAGAGAACTATGGTCTACAAAGCGTCAGGCTGATAGGATCACCAATCAGAATAAATGAGAGACCTGAAAACTATAGAGGAATTGCAGTTTAGTAATATTAGCAGAATATATGGGAAAATGATAAAAAATCGAATAAAAGAAGAATATCAAGATATGGAAGACAAAGAACAGGCTGGTTTTCGTGCAAGTCGATCTACGATAGACCATGTCTTCTCTATTACTCAGATAATTGAAAAGAAAGTTGCTTGTGGCCAAAAAGTCCATCCAAGTAGACCTTAGGAAAGCATAGATAGTATCCCGCTTGAAAAATTATGGGAGGCACTGGGGAAAACAAATATATATATATATATATATATATATATATATATATATATATATATATATATATATATATATATATGCAGCTAGCAATGAAGTTGGCCTAAAAATGAACTTGACAAAAACAAAAACCATGTACAACGAGCTAGTGGATGTCCAAGATGTAATAATAAATAATACTGCACTGGAGACAGTAGACGAGTATATATACCTGGGACAATTAATACATAAATCTGGCTCATTACTCCCAGAAATCAACAGAAGAATGAAACTGGCTTGGGCAGCTTCTGGTAAAAATTCAGTTATATTCAAATCTAGGATGCCACTCCACCTGAAGAAAAAGGCATTCGATCAATGTATACTACCAGTCATGACATACGGCTGCGAAACTTGGACACTAAAGAAAGATATAATAGCTAAACTCAAAGTCACTCAAAGGTCAATGGAGCGATGCATGTTAGGTATAACCAAGAGAGATCGAAAAAGAATAGAATGGATCAGACAGAAAATGGTCACTGATGTAATCCACCGAATAAAATCTTTAAAATGGCAGTGGGCGGGACATTTAGCAAGAAGAACTGACAATAGATGGTCCACTAGAATTACTCTGTGGTATCCAAGAGGCGTCAAGAGACCAAGAAGACGTCCAAATTTAAGATGGGACTATGACATAAGGAAACAAGCCGGTACAACATGGCACAGAAAAGCGAATATTACACAGTCGTGGGCAGACATGAAGAACGACTATGTAAGGGAGGCTGCACCATGATTGGTAGAATACGCTGATAATGATGATGATGATGATGATGATGATGATTTCTTGTTGTTTGTTGGTAGTACAACATTTTTACCGCTTCAATCAATTCTATATATATATATATATATATATATATATATATATATATATATATATATATATATATATATATATATATATATATGTTGAACAATTATTCCGGGAAAATATCCGTTGGTCATTTTTTAATTGCAGACGTTTCGCCAAGGTCTCACTTGGCATCTTCTGTGCGTTGTCTTCGGTCTCGTAGTCGGTAACTGAATGAGCTGCGCTCAGTCCTCACTTCTTTTATATCGTGCGCGGTTCGAGCGGAACAAAATGGATACAGCTCAAACACCATCTACAAAGCAATAAAGAAACAACGGAAGACCACACAAAACACACAAGAAGACAACAAAAATCAACCAAGAGCTATTCTACCATACGTGAAAGGAACCACCGACAAGATAGGGCGCATTCTCCGAAAAAAGAACATATCGACAATCTACAAACCGAAGCAAACAGTTCGATCGATCTTAAGAAACCCCAAAGATGCAACCAAACTGGAAAATCAGGGTGTTTACAAAATTGCATGTGGAACCTGTCACCAAACCTACATCGGACAAACCAACAGGAGAATTTCCGCAAGATTAGAGGAACACAAACTAGCAATTCGCAACAGACAGCTAACATCTGCTCTATTTCAACACGAGCATAACACAGGCCATAAAATAAACTTCGAAAGTTGCAAACAAATAGCCAACATTGAACACTTCAAAACAAGAACCATCAGAGAATCTATAGAAATTGAAAAAGAAGGTCTTCTTAACAAACGTGACGACTCCTTAAATCTGCCCCAAGCTTGGAAGTCCATAATCTCGAGACGCCAACATCAAACTGACTGCCTGAGCTTCGCTCCCCAGGGGGCGGGGCCTAGCGGCGTAACGAATACGGCCAATCAGCGACGATCCGCTCGAACAGCGCACGATATAAAAGAAGTGAGGACTGAGCGCAGCTCATTCAGTTACCGACTACGAGACCGAAGACAACGCACAGAAGATGCCAAGTGAGACCTTGGCGAAACGTCTGCAATTAAAAAATGACCAACGGATATTTTCCCGGAATAATTGTTCAACATATTACTCCATCCGTGAAACACTTCAAACTAACATATATATATATATATATATATATATATATATATATATATATATATATATATATATATATATATATATATATATATATATATATATATATATATATATATATATATATATATATATATATATATATATAGAATTGATTGAAGCGGTAAAAATTTTGTACTACCAACAAACAACAAGAATTAAAACATGAAATCTGATAACACCGGGATTCAAAGTGACTAAAGGACTAAGACAAGGATGCTGTATATCCCCAACATTATTCAAAATATACCTCGAAGCAGCACTCAACAAATGGTAGAAAAAATGTACGAATATGGGCATACCACTAATGGACTTAACTTTGTACACTCTGTGCTTTGCTGATGACCAGGTCATCATCGTACAGGACTCTGAAGACCTTAGTTACATGATGCGAAAACTATCAGAAGAGTTTACAGAGTGGGGTTTGAAAGTGAATATAGAAAAAACTGAGTACATGAGTATCGGAGGAGATCAACATAACCTACTCGTAGAGAAAAATCAAGAGATCAAACTATGTGACGACTACAAATACTTAGGAGTAAAGATCACTCAGGACGGAAAATTAGATGCAGCCATTAAGGAACGAAATACACAAGGAAGGAAAGGCATAGCCTTACTGAACAGCGTACTGTGGGACAAAAACATATCTAAGGAAAATAAAAGAAGAATATACAACACCATAATAAAAAATATCACAACATATGGATGCGAAGTGTGGCTCCTAAAAGACAGAACAGAGAAAATGTTTAGAGTAGCAGAAATGGACTTCTGGCGCCGCTCGGAGGCAATTTCATACGCGACAGAATAACAAACGAGAGAGTCCGATAAGTCATGTAAGGAGAATGCCGGAGAATAGAATACCAAGACAAATTCTTGAATGGCAACCAAGAGGTAGGCAAAGACCAGGAAGGCCTAGGACCACAAAGGCCAGAAAGGGAAAGAGAACTGGAGGACGATCTATGGAACGATAAAATGAGATGGAGAGTAGAAATAGGAAGACGTCGAAAAACGTTGTAAACCGACATTATATATTAAAACACCCTATCGGGCTACATCACAGAACGTTTTCGGAATTAATATTCCATCATCAGTGTTATCCTAAAAGTACTTATATAACCACTTTAATTAAAGAAAACATGAAATTTAAAATTTTGACCAAGTTTAATACAAAATGTGGTTATACTAGATGTACATGTTTTGAGCCACTAAATACTTGGGTAAAACTCGTTAAATGTTGTTAAATTGCATTATTTGATCTTATATACTAGGATATTGAAGTTACAACAGGAATTGATTACATGGCAACGTAAGTCTTCACTGGAGGTTGCTAGTCCTAAGATAAAGTGTCTACGAGGACTTGTTGATAGCAACTGATTGAAATGACAAGAATAACATGTTAGGATGAAAGTCAGAACAAAGCAGTCAATTTAACTTTAGGTATTTGTCTAAATATGACAGTAGTCAGCAATGTTTAAAATTGAATAAGTTTAAATTATCCTAAATTTACGTTGAGAAATTTGAAATTTTTTTTTATTAGTGTAGGTGGACTGAAGTTTGGTAAAATTTTTGTGGGTATTTCCAGATGAGACCGAATCAGAAATGAAGTAATAAAACAACGTATGGGAATAGAAGGAAATATAACTCAAGATATAGAGAAGAAACAATTAAGGTGGTATGGGCATGTTCAACGGATGCCAGAAACAAGACTCCCCAAAAAAGTAGTAGAATGGCAACCGATAGGTCGACGGAAAAGAGGAAGACCCAGATTAGAATGACAACACGGCGTAAACAAGTCCATGAGCGAAAGAAATTTAACAACAAACGACTGCAAAGATAGGAAGAGATGGTGTTTAGCTTTCGGACAAGTTATAAGTTCGTGATCATAAGGTGGATAGATAAAGTTAACAGAATGTTGGTGTGTATTGACATAATATGTAAAAACAGCAAAAGTAGATGGGCTACAGGTGGCTCTGTTTGGTTAAAATTATAATATGTGATGTTTTAATGTTGGTGTGAGAAGAGAAAAGACTCTACAAGAGGATGAGATCTCCAGAGATCATAAAACTCTACCCTGAGGGAAGTTTATGTGAGTAAGTAAAATAAAGTGTGTTATAAAGAAAGATGATGCTATGCCGATGATGCAGTACTAATGGCTGATAACGATGATGACCTACAAAGGCAGCTCCACACCTTCAATATCACAGCAAACAAACTTAATATGCGAATATGAGTAGAAAAAACTAAATGTATAGTGATCAGTAAAGAGCCGCGTAGATGCAAACTAGAAATAGACGACAAAATTGTAGAACAAGTAATGAAATTCAATTACCTAGAAGTAGAGATAACTAGTGACAGGGATATAAGAACAGAGAAAGTTCTCCATATGGACTTTCCACAAGGAAAGTCCATATGGAGAAATAAATATCTGACCACGGAAAGCAAAATGAAAGTATACAAGACAACAGTAAGACCAATCCTAACATATGCAGCGGAGACAAGGACCGATACAAGAAAGACGAAACAACGCATCAACAATATCGAAATGAAAGTATTAGGATCAATAGCGGGCATATCATTAAGAGACAGACAAACCAACAGAAGTATACGCGAACAATGCAAAATTCAAAATATTAACAGGTGGATAAAAACAAGAAAAAAAACTGGAACGAACATGCAAACCGAATGGGACCAGATAGATTATCAAATATCTGTAAAAACAACAAACCGTATAACAGAAGACCCGTTGGAAGGCCGCCAAAAAGGTGGAAAGATAATGTACAGTCAACAACGACTGAAACAGAATAAGAGGCAGACAAACAGGAGTAATCCTAGTCGCACGAAGAAGAAGAAGAAGAAGAAGATAAAGAAAGATGAACGGTGATGATCTAGTTAAGCAGATGTGTGGGGATTACTGTGAATTGTGAATTATATATATTCTTACCGAGTGAAATGTTTAATGGTGTGTGTAATTATATGGATTGATGTAGGAGGTGGTCAAAAAGATTGGTTGATTTAAATACTGTTACTAAAGATTTATGATTGATAAGTGGTGATTTAGATGTTTGGCTACACTTTACTACATCTTTGGGGTACCAAAATTGATATTCAGCTTGTTCGTATGATTTTTAGGGGTCAAATATCTGACGTATGGACTATTAACAAATATTATTATTATATATATATATATATATATATATTATTATATATATATATATATATTATATTATATAAATATATAAGGATTTTTAAATTCCAAACAACTTAAATGTGTGGTATAAAAAAAAATTTAACAATTCTGTAATAAGCAGATAAAATTTCATTAACCTACATATAGTAATAATGCAATATAAAAAGTATTCACTTCTGTCGGCACTCCTTAAGTATCACGAGCCGTTTTTTTTTTATTCTCAAGGGGAGACATTTTTTAAAATATTCTTACCTGAATGTTGAACATCGTATTCAAATCATGTACAACTACGTGCCGATCTTCCATCCGTCGGCGTGTGTTTCTGATGGCACACACGCTAGTGATGCAATAGGGGGTCCCTGTGTCCGGCGAGGGCAGTGAGCATAACATACTATTGTCCAGGTACCTTAAACAAACCTCATTGGTTTTGGCCATCACAGTCTGCATAAGTTTAAGAGGTTCATAAGCTAAAATTATTACAAAAAAATAGATAAGTATATGAAAATTTAACATATGTACAACTTAATTGTTTATATGTATATGAGCGACCTATTCTCTATCTAGTCAACCAATAACATCAATTTTTGGAGATATACCTCTTTTTATTTTCTGATTATCTTTTATCCTGGACTATTCACCCATCTTCATCGCCAGCATATTGTTTTGTATCATATGACCATCTAACTTGTGATCGTCCTCTTGTATGTCCAAAGTCTTCAATGTATAATTAATTTGTTTCACCTGTCGTCTTTCTTTAGGATAGAGCCAGCAAATTTTCAGTTAAGTTTTGTTAATTAAGTTGAAAAAGTTTTTTTTTCTACCTGATAGTTTGATATTCAATACTTATTTACTTTTCCATAGATCGTTGTGATTTCGCTATCTTTTTATGTCGTCCATGGTATACGTACATTTCGGGAAGTCGCAAATCAGAACCAGTGTTACACACTAATTGACGACCATTATTTTTAGATACTGACGGTTTTTTTATTTTTTAGTAGGTACATAAGAAAATTTACTAAATGCTGCCCAAGCTAGTCCTCTCCTTTTTAGTTTCTGGGTTTGATTTTCTTAATTCAGTTTGGTAATTTGCCTTAAGTATCTGTATGTATTTAGTTACTTGTTCTACGTTTTGGTTATTCTACTGTGATTTTTAGGTCTTTTTCTAGGTTTGTTATGTTTTTAGTTTTTTAATTTTACCTCCTGATTCTAACAGTGTTTCTGACGTGGCGATAGCATCTCTAGGTTTGTCTTTGGGAAGTCTTTCCAGAGATAGGAGCTAGCGATCACTTTCCATTTGTTTTGTGTTATGGGCAGGATAGAACTAACACCCAAATAAATAACCTTCTTCAAAGTATCAGTATCTTTAATAAAAAAAAAGCCAATCAGGAGCAATTTAACCTATACATTAAGTCTAATATTCACAATATTTCTGATGACTCATACACAGATTTTTAGAACTTAATATTAGATGCAGCAAATAGGTTCATCCCTAAGAAAAAGCGTATTAGATATCTTTAGAGAACTTTATTAATTTTAAAAAGATTAGGGCACTTTGCAAAAAGGAACAAGAAGCCCAAAAAGAAAAAATCATTTGCCATGTTTTGTTCCACAATCTCCCCTGATACCCCAATATCAGTAATGTGGAGAAAAGTGAGAAATTTCCATAGGGCCTTTACTAAAGTTTCAGTCAGAACTCCCAGCAATTTTCATTCGGGGAGGATATGCTTATCTCATTGACTCCACCTGTTTTTGAAAACATGTTCCAACACAATGGAAATCGCAAACAATTTGTTTAATCTCCAAACCTAACAAAAATATAAACTGTCTTTCAGGTTTGAGACCAATTGCCATATCCTCATGTGTCAGTAAACTTTTGGAGAACATGATAAAAATAAAGTTAGATTGGTATGTAGAACATTATCTGATCCTATCGCCTTTCCAAAAAGGTTTTCGTAAAGGTAGAGGGGTGTTTGAAAAAATTATCTATCTGTCAGTAAAATTTCAATGAATATTTCAAAAAGGAAGCCAGTGGCGGCTGTTATGTTAGACATTTCTTTTTTTATAGAAATAGGAATAACGCTGCGAACACACAAATATTAGTAAACGACATCTTGCTAGATTGGAAACAGGGAGTTTCTCATCTGGGAGTTATTTTAGATAGTTCTCTTTCTTGGAAGAGCCAAATCGAAAAGATGACGTTGAAGGCTTTCAGTAGAGTCATCATCTTCGATTTTGCTTGGAGGTTGTGCCCGTTCCTTACTTACAAAACTCGATTAAGTTCAATATAGAGCTCTCAGAGTGTTTGGGAGATTTATGAGGTCTTCTCCAGTTCATATTATTTCGTCAAAGTGCGGGGAAACACCGTTACATTTTAGAAGGATTTAGCTAGAATCTAAATTTACATTAAATGTGGTAGCGTATAACAACCCAATATATTCCTCAATTGAGCAATTTCATAAAGTATTTCTGAATTAAAATCATGAATGTGTTGCTTGTGTGAGTCCATTTCAAATAGGTAAAGAAATAATAAATAAGACTTACTCACAATCAATTTAATTTAACTATCTGACGACCGGTTTCGCTTTCTACAATATGCAAAGCATCCTCAGGTCTCGATACAAAGATAAACAAATGCTGAAATAATAAAAACCCATATTAGGGTGTTGTCCAATAACGATAAACAAAGTAGATGTTGTAAATTACAATAATTATGCCAATATTACATGTCTGTGGTTTTATTTAAATGAGTAAGTTGAATAAAAAGGTATAAAAATTTTTAAAAGTTTAAACAGACAAGGTAATGCCCCCAAATTGTTATAAAATAGTCTCTTCGATTGTAATAAATTAACAAATGAGCAAATAAATAAATAAAATAAACATTACTTACATGCCGGTACTCTATTAATTGATGGATGGTAGAACATGGTTGAAACTACTATATATTGTTGAATGGAGAACTCAATTCTATTATTGCAGTTGTTTGACAGTAAACGGGTAGTTCATGAGAAGATAGATTTGATCCAATGAAGAAGAGATATGTGGGTGATTGTGTGTTAAATGAAAGTAATGTAATATATCATTGTGATATTAAAAGCTATTTATACTTATTCGAGAGATATATTTTTAAAATATGTGTTATTTATTGAGTAATTGTTTTAAGAAGGTGACAGTTTTATGACAATGAATATGTTTGGATGTAAAATTGTGTGGGTGTGCAATTATTTTCCAACCTGTAGTTATCAAATTATTTTGATAAAGTTCTATTGGCAATTAGTAAATTATTGGAAAGTCAAGTGAATAAAATATATTAAAATACAAACAATTAGGACAATTCAAACACACTAAAACAGAAAACACTTAGAAGGGACGAAACAAACATTGAATTTAAAAAGGGGGAAGGGCTTTAATGCACTACATCGTAGTCTTGGGCACAATGAGTTTTTTTATGATTTATCTATTAGATTTTAGTGGTAAATTTGACAGATGTAGGTTAGCATGTGACAGTTCTTCTTCTGTTTCTCAATACTGTAAGTTAAGTTATCTAGTTTTATGAAATATGCTGTTATTAATGAATGTCTATAAATTGTTTCAATTTAGATATCAAAAGTAAATTGATGTGTTTAATATTGGCATACTTTAACAATCTTTAATTAATCAAATTTAATGTAACAATATGGATAATTGAAATACATCCTACAATATAACTAACTCAGTCTTTTTTTTTACATCCAAACATATTCATTGTCATAAAACTGTCACCTTCTTAAAACAATTACTCAATAAATAACACATATTTTAAAAATATATCTCTCGAATAAGTATAAATAGCTTTTAATATCACAATGATATATTACATTACTTTCATTTAACAAACAATCACACACATATCTCTTCTTCATTGGATCAAATCTATCTCCTCAAGAACTTCCCGTTTACTGTCAAACAACTGCAATAATAGAATTGAGTTCTCCATTCAACAATATATAGTAGTTTCAACCATGTTCTACCATCCATCAATTAATAGAGTACCGGCATGTAAGTAATGTTTATTTTATTTATTTATTTGCTCATTTGTTAATTTATTACAATCGAAGAGACTATTTTATAACAATTTGGGGGCATTACCTTGTCTGTTTAAACTTTTAAAAATTTTTATACGTTTTTATTCAACTTACTCATTTAAATAAAACCACAGACATGTAATATTGGCATAATTATTGTAATTTACAACATCTACTTTGTTTATCGTTATTGGACAACACCCTAATATGGGTTTTTATTATTTCAGCATTTGTTTAACTTTGTATCGAGACCTGAGGATGCTTTGCATATTGTAGAAAGCGAAACCGGTCATCAGATAGTTAAATTAAATTGATTGTGAGTAAGTTTTATTTATTATTTCTTTACCTATTTCTGAATTACTTTAGTTTCTGGAGAAGACAATACTTCCCACCAATACTGACTGCCTCCCAGAATATGCTACATGAGATTCATGTGGTGGCACATAACTAATTATTTCCTTGTGATTCCTTTCCACTTAATTCTCGAATTTCTCATATGGTTTATGAAACTCTCAACCTAGGGAAAGAAGATAACCAAGCCAAGTTTGTGTAATGGTACTTTGATAACTGGTCTGAATATAAATTAATCTTCAGAGATGGATCCAAAGATGAACAAGGTGATGTGGGCATTGGTATATACCTTAATGAAGGCACCAAATTAACACCATCTGCTATTTCAATTTGTGCAGCAGAATTGTTTGCGATAAAAAAGGCATTAGATTTAATTGAACAAATTAATTTTGAAAAAAAGCCTTATTTGTAGTGATTCAAAAAGTGTATTCATAGAAATATAAAATGAGAATAACGTCACCGTCCGAGACAGGAGCGAAATAAGCGAGGCCATTGAAAAATTCTACACTAAATTATACTCGGTAAATATACAACCACAACAACGATGTACTGAACGAACAATAATTAACACCGGCTCAGAAGAAATACCAGACATAACCGACTATGAAATAAGAATGGCCCTAAATCAACTAAAAACGAATAAATGTCCGGGAAAGGATAAAATTACAGTTGAAATGTTGAAAATTGGTGGCAGAAAAATGGAATTGATGAAGGAAAGATTCCTCAAGAATGGTACAACTCCGAAGTAATTTTACTATTCAAGAAAGGAGACAAAGCAAACATCGAGAATTACCGACCAATATATGTATAAATTCCTAACTAAAATAATAGCTAACCGCCTAACACACAACCTCGATTTCTATCAACCTATCGAGCAGGCTGGATTCAGAAAACATTTTAGTACCATAGACCACTTGCACACCGTAAGAACACCAATAGAAAAATGTACCGAGTATAATGTTCCAATGTGGTGTTCGTCGATCTCCATAAAGCATTCGATTCCATCGAATTATGGGCAGTGCTTGACTCTTTAGAAAATGCACGCATATATTCAATATACACTAACATAATTAAAAACATATATGAAAATGCCACCATGCAGATAAAGCTGGACGAAAGCACAAAAACTAATCTCATAAGACTACAACGAGGAGTAAGACAAGGAGACACCATATCTTTCAAACTATTTACCCTTGCTCTAAAAGACATTTTTAAGAAACTAGAATGGAACAACAAGGGTATCAACGTCGACTTACTTACTTACTCCGTGGCGTTACAACCCTTCGTGGGTTTTAGCCGACTCGACAACATGCCTCCACTGTTTTCTGTCTTGAGCAACCTCCATCCAATTCTCCAGGCCCATAGTGCTTAGGTCTCCAGCTATATTATCTCGCCACCGGAGACGAGGGCGTCCGCGTGGTCTCCTTCCAGTTGGGACTTCCTCCCACACCAGTCTTACTGTTCGTTCGTCAGAATGTCTTCTGAGGTGTCCTGCCCATTGGAGTCTTCTGGACTTTATTTCTTTTATGATGTTGGCGTCTGGGTAAAGTTCTTCAAGCTCTTTATTAGTTCTTATCCTATATTGTCCTGATGCTTCATCAAGCACCGGACCAAAGATCTTCCTTAGGATTTTTCTTTCCCAAACACGTAGTCTCTCTTCATTTGCCTTTGTTATCGTCGACGTTTCGCTTTCATACATCACAACGGGTCGTATGATTGTTTTATAGACCTGTATCTTCGTACGTCGTGTTAGTTGTTTTGATTTTATAAGGTTTTGGAGGGCAAAAATACATCTGTTGCCGGCCTGAATCCTGTTGTTTATTTCTTGTGATCCGTTATTGTCTTCAGTTATTGTTGTTCCAAGATACTTGAATTCTCTAACGCGCTCAAAGTTAAAGTCATCGATGGTAATGTCCTGACCGATTCTGTCTCAGCTTTGGTTATTGCGGCTCATATACATATATTTCGTCTTGTTTTCGTTGATTTGGAGCCCCATCTTCTCTGCTTCCTTCTCAAACCTTACGAAAGTCTCCTTCATCCTTAATCGCGTGTTTCCTATTAGATCTATATCAACGTCGACGGATCATACTTAAACCACTTGAGATTCGCTGATGACATAGTTTCAATAGCCGATAATATCCAAGAACTAAATGATATGTTACAACAATTAAATGCAGTTTCAGGAGCGGTAGGCTTAAACTACAGTAAAAACAAAAATACTGAGCCGAATCCAGACAAATATAACAATACGAAATCATACCATAAAAAATGTTGAACATTTTGTATATCTAGGTCATGTCATCAAACTAGGAAAACCAAATCAAGATGCTGAAATTAAAAGAAGAACACAACTGGCATTGGACGCTTTCGGCAAACTAGCATATATCTTGAAAAACACCTTCATTCCTGTAAACTTCAAGAAAAAGGTGTATAACACATGCATATTACCAGTCTGAACCTACAGCTTGGAGATAGTAGCCCTTAACAAAAAATCTGCTCAAAATTAAGAACAATCCAAAGAGCAATGGAACGAATCATGCTTGGAATATAACTGAGACACAAGATTAGAAACACCGAGATAAGATGTAGAACGAAGATTAGGGATATTGTGGAAGAAATTTAAAAAATGAAATGGCACTGGGCAGGTCACATAGCCCGATATAATGACAACAAGTGGACACGAAGAATTCTAGAATGAAGACCAAGGACGACAACAAGAAGCATGGGAAGACCCCAATAAACATGGGTAGGTGACATAAGAGCAGTGGCAGGCAAACAGAGGATTAGATTGGCGCAAGATAGAGAAAGATGGAAGCAATTGGGAGAGACCTACATTCAGGAGTGGATGAAAAATGGTTGACAAAGAGATATCGGTCAGTTGTTTATGTGTTTTGAGTTTCGACACTCTCAATCTTAAAAAACTTTTTATGGCCTACAACTTTTATTGTATACAAACTTACATGTGGTGACTGCCCAAAAATTTATATCGACCAAACTGGTACATCCTTTAAGAAACGTATAGCAGAACACAAAAGAGCTTTTAATGACCAATTTTTTAACGGCCAATGTCAAATTCTTCATCTTCAAAATAAAGGCATTAAGCTATCTTTATTAGAATCTATGGAAATTAATAAATACAGATATAATTCTAAAACACAAACAGCTCTCCCCTCTTCATCTTAATCAATTAGAAACTATAAATTGTAGACGCATAGTAAAAATATATCACTTGAGAAAAGCACTCTGCCGAAAAAGCTGTAGAAATAATATATTGTAATAAATTTTGTGGAAGTGTTAAAAAAGTGTACAGTTTTCATGACCTATATTTTATGTGAATAAAACTATTTATATAACGTCAATGGCATATATTATGTACTTACCGTTATCTCCAGGATTAAATCCGCAATTTAAAGGATGTTTCTTGCAGGCCTTCCTGATTTCTTCTATAATGATTTTGATAAGGGGAGCAAACAAGTTCGGGGGGCATTTTCTAAAAATAACACGCACATGATTAAAAAAAGAGGTATTCAAGTTACCGGAATGATTACACTTAAACGGATGTCTATGGGAGAAACAGGAAGAAGGAACAAAAATTAAACACTCGTTTATTTAGACTATTACGGCACTACATAAATACTAGCATCAATTATTTATAGAACGAGTTCATGTGTGAGCGTATAATTGGAAGAGAACTGATTTTTTAAATCTTTGTAACGGATTTACAATTTTTTTATTTGCTTTCATTTTTGTATATCATTATATAAATGTTAAAAGGTGAATTCGACGAAAATTTATCATACGAAGTGCAAGAATTTTTGTAAAATGTAAGAGAAACAAACATTTGAGCTAAGAGTCATAAATTTGAGCATATCTTTTAAGTTTTTTTTTTTGTAGTTAATAAATAATAAGATTTATTATAATGTAAATTGTTGCTTCAATTAAATAGACATTGTCATATATTGCAACATCTACATTTCTACTAAAAAATCTCTATCGATGACGTCATCACTATTTCATAGAGGATATGATAAAATAAAACAGTAATCTAAAAGGACTTCAATTTAGAAATAAAAATCAACAGGTTTCATATTTTTCTCTAAAGTCTCCTGTTTTCAAAATAATGAATTCATTAATTTTGAACGAAATATGAACAGATGGAGAGAATATTTCCAAGAGATGTTACCAACATACCACTGTCAAGAAGAAAACAACCTGTTGAACCAAATAATAGAAGATGATAATGTAGAAGCTATTGCAGAAATGGAAATCGGAAAGGCACCAGAATATGACAGAATAACAAGTGAAATGTTGAAAAAAATATGACAAATTTTGCAAATTCTGCAACAGAGTTATTACTAAAGATATTTAAAGCCATATGGAGAGAAGAACATACCACCAATTTACTGGCAGAAGACTCAGGTAATATAGTAATGTTTAATATTTTTCTACTAATAAAATTTCAGATAATACTCTTGAAATGTTGTACTATAATGTACTAATGTTATAAATAAATTTATGTTAAACATTTTTTCAAAAAAAGAATCTTAAAAAAATGTTTAAAATATCGAAAATAAATCCTCCCTTAAAGCGAATGGCCAAACGTCGCAGTGTTTTCCAGTTGTTGCCGGACGAGCAGAATATCTGCGACGAAATTCACGCTGCGCCAACAAAACCAACAAATTGTTGCGCAAAAAAAATGGGGAAAAGTATTCCTCGTTCTTGCGGACTAAACTGATTCATGGCTTGTCGATTTGTATTCTGCGTTTGTTTACTTCACAAAAGTCAAATCGAATTGATTTGCAAAAGTTATAGCTTTTTACAATAGGGTGACTACTTTTGCCCCACCTTGTACACATTTTATATTTTTGGTACACAGAATAAATAATATTTTATTTATTTTATTTATTATTCTTTGTGGTGATCTTAACATCGATTATCTTAAAGAGTCAAGGCAAAAATCTATATTGAAGGATTTTATGAATAGTTTTGGACTTAGCTGTAAAAATACTGAACCAACTAGAATATTTACAAATAAAAACGGTGTAATTTCACGATCGAAACTAGATTATTTTCTTACCAATATTCCTCAATTATACAATGAGGTTGTCGTGAACTACAATTTAGGTGATCATCTAGGACTTCATTTTAGTTTAAACATATTTGAGAGTAACAATACTGCTGCATCCCAGATAGCTACTTATAGAAACTTATCAAAGAATTGTTTGTCTAATCTTTTGTTGAGTCTTGATTCTGAGAATTTCGAAAATGTTTATACATATTCAAATGCTGTAGATGATGCATATAGAACTTTTTTGAACTCTGTCTCCTATCATATTGATACAACATGTCTTTTAATATCAAAACGCATAACTACTAATACCAACAGAAAATGGATCAATACTGAAATTCCTCAGATTAGTAAAAAGCTGAAATATTTATTTTGGCTAGCAAATGTTAGTGGTAATTCAGATTTAATGTATAACTATAAAATACAAAAGGCCAACTTTATTCGTAAGGTAAAGGATAATCAAAATAATAATAAAAGAAGGAAAGAGATATGGAAAACTGTGAATCGTCAAACTGATAAAAATACAAACAATTTTGAGTGGAGCATTACTGATAATAATAAATTATTGATACATCCAGAACACATAGCAAACAAATTTGGTGAGTATTTTTGTACATCAGTCAAACACACATTATTAAAACATTTCAATAACTATACCTTTAACGATTTCACATCTATGACAATTAACAACACATTCTTTTTTTCTGAAGTCTCACCATTTGATATTGAGATCTTCCTTAAACTATACCAGCTCAGTAGGTATTGATCAAATCCCCACTAAAATAATTAAATACATTTCTTCATATATATCTCCTGTTTTGTCTCACATCATCAACCTATCTGTCAAGGATGGCAAGTTTCCAAGTGACCTTAAAACGGGAGTAGTCAGTCCAATTTTCAAAAAGGGAGATCCATGTTTGGTTGATAATTACAGGCCAATCACCGTAACAAGTGTACTCTCTAAGATTATCGAAAAGTATGTTTATAGTAAAATGTTAAATTTTCTGAATAAATATATCTTAAATAAATGCCAGCATGGGTTTCTTCCTAATAAATCTACAGAGAGTTCTTCTATTTCATTATTTAATTATATCCACGCTGCTTTGGATCGAAAAAGGTATGTGGGTGGACTCTTTTTTGACTAAGGCTAACTAAGGCTTTTGACTCTATTGACATTGAAATTATACTGCATACATTAGAAGCCCTTGGTTTTCAGGGTTATTTCTTGAACTGGTTAAGGTCATACTTACAACATCGTAAATTCCTAGTAAAAGTCGATAATAAGAAGTCATCTGTTTTTAATCTTGACCGAGGTGTACCGCAAGGCTCCGTATTGGGACCCCTAATATTTCTTTTATATGTCAATGATTTGACACATTTTTTAACTGCAGACCATACAGTTCTTTATGGAGATGATTCAACAATTGTAGTTGACGAGTCAAATGAAGTCGAACTCATATCAAAAATGAACTTAGTAGCACAGGAATTTACAACCTGGTGTAAAAGGAACTCTTTAATGGTAAATGCAAAGAAAACTATTTGTATGCAGTTCTACTCGCGCTTTAAGCCATCCCATGGTTATAAAATCACAGTTAGTTCTGAGGAAATACCTTTTAGTGATACAACATTATTTCTTGGTAGCATTCTAGAAAGTAATATGACATGGGATGAAAATGTCACTAAAGTCTGCAAAACAATGAATAAGGGTTACTATGCGATCCTTCAGTTGAAAACTCTATTTAACACCAATCAATTGATAAGTGTGTATTATGCATTGGTTTATTCATATATGGCCTATAATGTTATCTTGTGGGGAAACTCTAGAAACTCTTCTAGAGTTTTTATAACTCAAAAGAGAATTCTTAGATTGATATGTTTGTATTTGTATCATGGATTGATATTCAATATTAATAATAGACAATCATGTCGTAAATATTTTATTGAACACGGGCTGTTGACTTTTCATGCTTTATATATTTATAAGTGTGTTATTCATGTCAAAATTAAATTTCAAAATTTTACCCTCAACTCTGACTTTCATAATTACCCGACAAGACACGGGAGGTTGATAAGCGTGTGTAAACACTCCACAACTCTCCTTTGAAAGTAGTCCTGATTTTGCAGGATCTAAATTTTATAATTGTTTGCCACTTAATATAAGAAATGAAAACAATATTCAAAAATTCAAAAATAAATTAAAAGCATGCTTGATCCAATTATGTGTTTACAATCTAAATGAATATTTTGACTTAATAAAAGACTACAGAGAATAAGGACCGACGGGTTCAGAGACGCTCTATATTGCATATCTTTGTTTTTTATTTTTATATTAATCTATATTTTATTGATTTTGTTTTATGTTATTATCGTATATAACTTGTTGATCATGCTTTATGTACTATATGACTTGTCCTATATCACAATGTGATCTGATGGGATTAATAAAGAATATTCTATTCTATTACTTGATATATTTATTACAACTGATATATCCCAAAGATAAACAAACCAGTAAACAAACCAACACTTTTTTCTACTTTTCTGAGCTTTTCCAGGTTGTCAATTGGAAATAAATAAAAGAGCCATACAAAAAGATATGTTAAATCTTAATTAAATAGGTGGTTGGAGATTGGATCTCAGTGTTCCTCAGATCATCAAAAAATCGTTACTTTAGTTGCATTGTTAACCCATCATTAGTAATACCCATTTTTCAATTAACACTGTTTTACAACTAGCTGTTTACTTGGCCTTTATTAAGAAGTAATGTTCGTTATTTTTAAGTTTACTTAAAAATAAAAATATACCTCAAAGACTGCGAACCAAAATGTTCAATTCCTGTATCCTACCTGTGCTTACATATGGAGCTCAAACCTGGACATTCACTAAAATAAACATGGAGAAGATCAGAAAAACTCAGAGAGCTATGGAACGACAGATGCTGGGTACCTCACTCAAAGACCATAAAACCAATGAAGACATTCGTAATAGAACAAAAGTAAAAGATGCTGTCGGACAGGCCGCTAAACTAAAATGGAAATGGGCTGGACATATCGAACGTCTTAAGGATGTCCGATGGAATAAAGAAATCGGGAATTTACGGCCATATGAAGCCAAAAGACCAAGAGGAAGACCGCAAATGCGATGGAGCGACGATATTAAAAGAACTCCAGGGCCGATGTGGAAAGTTTTACAAACTTACTTTCACCTGATTTTCCCAAACGTATTTGATAAAAATATAGGCGTAAAGCAGGGCATTCACGTTCCGTTTAGTAGGATTACTAGTTAGATAGTCGGCTCCACTCACGCTCCGACTTGCTATCGAACTAGCGCTCCAACTTCAGTCCTAGTCTCTTTTCACGGTGATGCACATCGGTTAGCCAAAAAATGTACCGAGTTAAGTCTACGCAAAATATAATTAGGAA